TGCGTCGGAGTGATGAGGGACATCTTCGTGCCCCAAGCTACGACTTAATTAGGATTCTCGGAAGGCTATTCCCTCGAGCTCGGTGCACGTAGCACGACTTCCGCACAGGTTCGTATTGCATGGCAATCCAGTACATAGATGCGAGTGTTCTTTTGTGGCGACAATACTGCCAGGAGAATCTTTTCGCTGGACTCGGGAAGCTCCTTCGTGATAGTATCCGACTTTCTACCTCTCATTGGAGCGGAACGGACGACCCCCGGTCGAAGACGTCCTCGTAGCGAGAGGCACGAGAGGCGCTATTCTTCTAGGGAGTGGACTTTTCGGCCGACGACGTACATGTATCTACGTATTTGGAGTGTGTAACACGAGAACTCTCGTTGCTGGCCGACGTCCGCTCGGACGTGGGACAGAATGTATCGAGCGAGGCGCATGCATCCCCCCCCGCGCGAGATGTGATCGAAAATAGTCCTCCGCCTTAGCGCCTGTGATGAATTGATCCCTTGGCGGTGCCGGAGCAACGTCCACGATGGGATGACGGAGACTATTGGTCACGAGAGCCGCGAGCGAAAGGAATCAAAATCCCATTGTACACGTTCTCCCGAGTCTTCGTCACTGCGCCGCACAAAGACCCGACAAATGAAGGTCAGAGCCTATTCGGGGTGTCTCTGCCATTTTTCCCGTCGCCAGCAAGTCCTGCGATACTCATCTCGGCCACATAAAAAATCGCCGCCAGGAATAAGGTCCGCGTTCTGCCTGAATTCCCCCGACTGTGGCGTCACTAATAAACTTCTTTACGGACGGACGCATCGTTGCGAGCTTTGGTTAGTGCTGACGCATCGCTAATCCCAGCACTGCAGTTTCCCTGCCCACCGATCTCCCCGGAGACTGTCCTTCGGCGGCAGACTGACTTCCATCCGCGTCGAAAATTATTCGCGACTCGGAAGAAGTAACGCGCAAACAACCTGTCAGAGTCAACTTATCCAGTCGAGCGGGAATCTCGATTCAATTAGGTCGATCTCAGTCCGGGATCCACTCCATATTTGATGCTCGATTGGCTCGAATCGAAATTGGAAGCGCGGCGAGAACGATGGGTTCCGAGTTCGCGAGCTGGGCTCCCCGGTAAAGCGATCAGGGCGATGATCTTTTGGCTCCAGAACTTGTTATGGAGTCAATTTCATTATGAGCGCTTTGATCTCGGGTTTGTTTAAGTCCGACTCCGGTCTCTGATTGGAGAATCACGCGAGAGCGGTTGTAAAAGAGAACGCAGCGAAACTCGCTCGTATGATAATCTCATTCTGGGCGGCGAGTAGTCGCTCCATTCACTGATGACCACCGACTTGCCCTCCTTAATGCACCCCGTGGTCTTCAGAATGAACCCCTTGATATCTCCAGCCAGCGGCTCGGCGCTCAACAACCTGATGGTATTCCTTATGACAGAAAGAACGATAACAATGATGAGAATTAGTACATTTGATTACCGTACTCGGTTTTTTTTAATATAGCGTGATGATTTATTTCCCATTCGGGAACCATCCCCACAACGGTAACAATTGACTGCGAAAAACTCACTTATTCATATGTTTCATATGCTCTGTCGTAGTTATCTGCATATATATTTATTTATATTTTCAGTGCCGATTCCGGATGACATCCTAATTTATTCCCTAAACTTTATGACAGAACCATAGATAGACATCTCTCAGAGTACCTAATAAAGGAAAAGGTGTCAGGGATATGGAAGGTTGAAATTCCCCTGCCCTCTGACGAAGCCGTCAAGGAAATACCTCCGTGAGGAACGACGAACTTTTGACGATTTGTCACGAATCACGTCAACGGATATCGAACAATCGGAACTCGACAAGTTCCGCTTTCCTAGCTCAGTAAATCTATCGTAATTTGTAATTACAAGTGATCGCCATATTCATACCGTGCTGGACGCAATCCGGAAAGGCGCATCAGCACGTTCATCTTTTCGCTGTACAAACGTTTCACGCGGTTGATGCTCCGACGCGGGAGCATCTCCGGTATCCACACAGGTCAAGTTGCGAATTTCAGTTTTCGATTGTATCAGGGGAAATCGCAGCGGATTCTAATGACAATTGACAAAGGGACGCGAATGTCATCGACAGCTTGAGATGGGTTTATTCGAAAAAGATAGCGAAATGGATGAAAATCAGCATCGATTCAGCTAAGGAGGCAATAGAGAGTTTGCGAAGGGTGGAAACAGAGAATAGTGAGGGAGTAACACACGATATCGAGGGCATAAAAAACAATTGGTCTATTTGTTATCCAACGTGTTGTACAGAATTATTGGCCTTGTCATAATCCGCTTCGGCACAACGTGATCCCAGAGGCGAACATTCGAAAGTCGTCGCAACACAGCTCGTCCGTTTTCCTTGTCGATTCTAGGGAACGGCACGGCGCCGGCGGACGGACGCCGCCAGCCACGATGTCCGCAACCGTCCTCGACGCCACCTATCTTATGGATTGGACCGACAGGACCGCGAAATTCGTTTCCCTTCGAATCGAGATGATTTTCTTCCGAGAACCTGCGGGACGAAGCAGATTCCCAGAGCAGATTCTACCTGTTCCCCTTCCATGTTCTCCCGATTGAATTCGATTCTGTCGGTGATTAGATCCGGCAAACGCTCCGACCCAGCCTGGGATAAGGTAAGGATGATCATGAGGAATGAGAGGTGAGGAGGGTGTGTGTATGTGGTAGATAAATAATTTCATTTCCTTCCAAACGACGGCAACGATGAGGCATGTTCCCTCTTTTGTGACTTCATTTCCGACTGAACTCTCCTTTAAACAGACATTTGATTGATTTGTGATTCCATCGACGGACAACTCGCTGAACCGGCACCTTCACTCTCCGTATAGGTCTGCAGACGTGGAATCGCGCTGACCCGTCACATGAATCCATAGACTGATCGCCGATCCTTGTCTTGGTCGGTGAGTTGATGTAGGTAAAACACGTGTGAGAATGAGAGCGAACTCCGGTGATGATTTGAACAATGACGGGGTCCTTGTCCTGATGTCTCCGGTCTCTTCGAAGGATATCAAACTTCCCAATGCTCATCGAGGTTCCCACGACATAATGACGCCCCATGGCCTAAAGCGCACAGCTTTCTGGAAATAGAGAAAGAACATCTCTCAACACTGCTCCTCGACCTCTTCCATTGTAGTCCGCTCCAGCCTCCTGGATTTCTTTCCAATCTCTAATGAAATAACGAGCGCGCGCCCGCATCGACGCGAGAACCCATCTACCTCTACGAAACCGTGGAGTAGGCACATTCAATCAGTACGGATCCGGCGAGACCCGAACGGGGACAGCGATGAGCTTCCCGACTTGGGAGAGAAAGCCTCTCTGGACGTATATAGAGTTGATCCTAAGCCGTACAGCGCTGCTCGTCCAAGTCGAGCGAATCCCGTCGTGTTCAACGAGCTCATTTGCGCTTTGAAAGAAAGGAAGAAAGGGTTCTGTCGACGACTGAACCTTCACCGGTACTGTCGGCCGCGGCCAGCGTTTCTCAAGGAAGGCTTAGACTTTCTTTTCCTGGATCTCAGACAGCTCTCGAGTTCAGGGAGCAATAACCGGCACTTATCGTCTCGCCTATGCCTTCTCACGCGAATATCTGGATCCCTAGAGAGCATTGAACGCTTAACCCGGAGATCAAAGAAACCAGCGGTGCTCGCCGACTCGGGAGAAGAGTGGAGCAAAATCTGCTCCTCAATCGGTCGGAGGGGAAATAAACGTCGTGGTCCCTGAACGTCTCGAACGAGCGACGACGTGAGGGAACCGTACTCACCATACGCGGCAGACGCAGCTGTCGAAGCGAATCAGATCCATTCATTCGAGATGAAGCCATCTCCCACGTACATGTGCATCCATCAAGTTTTCCAAGTGTCCGTACACGCATCCGACCCCTCGAATAGGGAGTAGGTAGCTGGCAGCAGCGTTTCACGGTCAACGTTCGATTTTTTTCTTCCGTCGTGCACGTTGTGTACCTCTCCACGACGGGGTCCGCGTCCGAGGGGGCCGTCGTCCGTGCTGAGCCTGGAATTCGAAAGCAGACTTCGCGAGATCTATTTCAAACGAAATCGATCGCGACGGCCGCGAGAGGAACTGCAGATCTCGATAGAATCAAAATCCTGAGCGCCGGAAACGCAGGAGAAAAGGAACTCTAATCATCACCGATACGGTGGATGAATCTCCGGTTCCTAAGCGAGGCAGACGCAGAAGGAAAAGCCAATCGGAACCCTCACTTCAGGTCCCGATTCGCAGTCCCTGGCGATAGGCCGTATGTTTCACGGCGGTGAGGTGTCGAGTGCGAGCGAACTGCACACGAACATCTCTATGTAGTCGTCGCCCGTTCGGGACTCGAGCGGCTGCTATTGCGGCACCGGAGAAGGAACACGACATCCTATGCCACGCCCTATTTAATTCCCTTAGCCAAACGGAGGGGAAAGACAAGCTTTTCATCGCTGCTTCGCGATAAATTTCGTTGACCTGGAAACCCACATCACGGACAACGGGACGGTGCGACGCTGCAAGCATCATCACCGGCAGGAAATTCTTCCTTCTTCTGCTACTCTTTCTTGCTGGCGAATCTAATTAGCCAACAAGGCTTCGTTCGACGGGAAGCGAGCGGGCGACTCGACCGGCGCGCGGATGGTCATGCATTCGAAAGCACTCGCGAGGAGGGATCTTTTTAGCGTGTCTTTGTGAATGGGGCAATTGCTCTTGGACTCTCCGATGCAGCCTAATCAGGTCGATGGTTTACTCGGCGTAACGCTTCGGCCAGAAATAACATGAGTTCCTCTCATGGGCGATCGCAACACAGAGAATCGCTCCATGCTAGGACCCTAGAGTCCCGGAATACGTCCGAAATCTCGCGGAGCAGCTTTTTCTCCGCATCTGACAAGCGGAATATCGGTCTCTCTCCGACGTAACTCGTGTGTCCGGTAAGTTTTCGAACGTTCGCCTCGAGGGGGAATCATGGGAACGGCGGAGTTTGACCGACAAAACTGACCTCAGTGAGATTCTCCTTGTCGCAAAACTGCGGCAGCGGCGAGCTGCAGTCCTGATCCGGGGTCACTGTCGCGTTTTTGAGCGGCTTCGGCTCCTCTTCGAATACAGGAATCTCTTTATCGTTGTCTTTATCCTCATCTGAAGAATCCTCCATGAACGACGGCTCGAAGATCGATAAGCTTGTAGAACGTGACGTACGATGGGTTCCTTGGTCTGGAACGAGCGTAAGAGATTATTTAGGCGTAATTGCATAATGAGCCCCCGAGTTTACTGTCCATATTATGGTTTCCAGCTTCCGTAAGCCAGTCATTCACTTTGGCTCCAACTAGAGCGCTAATGCGTTCCGGCTGTTGTCGGCCGTCCCGAGCTTCGTCGAGTACGTAAGTGTTCGACGGTACCTCCTTCTGATAATGATCCTTTTACCCACATAGTTTCTGTAAGCTCGCGTTTCTCCCGCTGCCTCCCAGCGTGAAAAGCGAATATACACGGCAAAGCTCTGCGAGCAGAAAGGAACCCCCACCAATCTGCTCCGGGTAAGTGACGACGCGTTCCGAATTCTGCAACCGCAAGCCTCTTTCAATATCCGCCGAGGCTCGGAAAGTCACTTGTTTGAATCCGACAAAACGCAAGAATCAATTTTCCCGTGAGTTCAGGACGAACATGAAAAATACATCAGGAACCCAGCACGAAAGCAATGGAACAGCGTCGGTGAGAGGAGAGTTTCCGGCACGATTCCTCGTCGTTTTACGATGTCGTTCTTCGTTTCCGCGTGGAGAACTCACAGAAGCGAAAACTTACACAGAGCCGAATGAGCCGAGAATTCCACGCCGCCCGACCGGTCTGAGGAGGATGGCTTGCTCAGCGAGCGCTTCTGAAGTTTCGCCGAAGCTTTCAGGCATGACGACCGTCGTCGTGAGCGTCGAGTCTTATTCGATCGAAAAATTCCTCCTTCTATTTTTCGAGGCGCTCGTCATTGTAGTCGATCGCTGGGAGTAGATGCAGAGTCATCATGAAATAGTCTTCCCTGACCATTGCGTAGCCTGACAGTCCGATTTTCGCGGTTCGCATGCCACGCATTCGACAGAGAGATTTTCCTCCCGTCCTCCCCTGACGGTCCCATGTGAAGCTTTCTGCCCCCGTCAGACCCACGTTGCTTCGAATTCCAAGTCGACCCGAGAGAATTCAGAAAAATCGCCCTCTCGGAAGTTCGGAGGGAAGGTTTCTGGCTCGACCACCATGCGAGCAAGAGGAGAAGGGTGAAGAGCTTTTTTTCATTAGCTCTCCCGACCAGAGACTCTCAATCCTAGGTATTCCGAATTTATTTCGCTTGCAGCCCAAGACGGCTGGTGTCGGCAGGAAACTTCGCAATGCCTCATGCTCTTTACCTGAGTGAGATGAACTCACAGCCGAATCGGATACCGTTGACGGATTTCCCAATTCTGATGAATCGATTGGGGAGGATGAAAATCCTCCTTAAATCAGTCGATCCTTGGGCTAATGATTCCTCGACCAAAGTGTCCGAGGGAAAAATCTCGTATTCGTACACGGCACACAATAGACTGCATATTGGGAGTCGGGGGACGAAATCGCTGCTTCTCTCAAGAGAACAGGGGCTGCAGAAGGCTGGCTCGCCCCCGTCGACACACACAAAAGACGGGGTTCTGGACCGAGCTTCGGTTAAAGTCGACGAAGTGTCGGGAGAGGTTGCCCACCGCGCCGGGTGCCGTGGCGACGTCGTTAAATTAGGTCTCATTCCCTGATCTCCATATATCGATGAAGAACAGTGGACGAGTGATTGACAGTAGCGCGATGGGATCGACGCGGCTTAAGAGCTCTCCGGGCGGGAAAGCGGCCTCTTCCTCGGGATCCGTATTCTGGCCTGTCGGCAAGCGGCTTTCTGGAGAGCGGGGCGTTTATTCACAAACGCGTCGCCCGCCGTCGCCGGTTTCCATCAACGACAGGGATCACTCGGATTTCCGCTCGGAGCCTTCGGGGTCTACAGAGAGTTTTTGCAACAAACTAAAGAACACAAAGCAACACAGCTTACAGATGCCGACGTTGCTCCGGCTCGACAAAGCACAGTCGTCGCTGTATAAACGAATCTCTGGAGCGTTGATGTCCCGGGAGAAGACTTCGCGAATGTTGACACAACGAAAACAGAATCGTTTTACTGCTGATGGGTTTCTAACATCCAATGCGGAGGAAGCGAATCGTCGACAGGATTGCCCGAGCACAAACAATAATGATCACTCGAACTGTGACAATTTGTGCGCGATGCAATTGAATTCATGGACGGGTCAGCTTCCGTGAGGGTTTCGTAGCTTGTCTGGGATGAATTTCGCCGAGATATAGTGGAACCTTCCTTCCCTTGGCACCGCGGATCTCGAGTGATGGCTCTGTCGAAGCGATGTCTGTCCGACCCGGCGCGGAGCAAACGAAATAACGAAGCTAGGCAGAAAGAAATCGAACACGTTCGATCGAACCCGCGCCGGGAAAATACGACATTCCGTCTGTCTTTGGAAAAAACGATGAGCGAGCGCGCAAAATCCTCTAACAAGTTTTCCCTGGAGACAAAACCACAAGTAACTCATTACTGCTGAGTCAACGAGGATCTTAACGGCCGGTGACACGGCGTTTGAACGGCTCCTGGCAGTTTCCTTTGTCACTGCTCTGAGAGGAAACACTCCAGAGCTGTTTCAACTTTTCCTTCAGCAACTCCTCGCGACTTTCTTCCTGCCTTTTGTCTCTCTCTAGTTTTCGGTCCCCCACAGTTCCTCCTTCGAGGCTCCAAACGAGACAATGATCAGGCTTCGCAGAAGTAATGATCCGACCTGAGCTCATCGTAAATCTCAGTCAGGACCAAGACACCGATTGCCGAACCGAGGTTCATGATCGTTTACTACTTCCGCTGAGCAGCGTAGTCTTCCAGGAGCTCACTCGGTACGGGAATATTCGGGCTCTCCGATACGACGGATCCGCAGCCTGAGCTCGTTCCGACTCAATGCCAGATTCAATTTTCGCGGTCAATCGTCCCCGTTCGATTGACCGGCTCACACCGTTGCTCCGTACCCGTTTCACGACGTCGAATACCTGCCGTCGTCGTCGACCGCCGCCCTGTCCGTTTTCGAAAGCTCCCGGGAGTCGAAACAACGCTGGGCAGGACGGGCAGCCGGAGAGATGGGAATTCGGGCCGGTTCCGGTCCGATTGCGGTTTGATTGCAATAAGCGAGGAAAGATCGATGATCGATCGCTTGGGCGACCATTTCTGAATTTAGGCCTACTTCTTTTCACGCTCGCCTTTCGCCAAAACTCTTCCGGGACCGCGGAAGGACGGAGCCGGGAACGGAGTCGTATTCGATATCCGGTGGTTTGGCGGGAAGCGATTTCAAGGGAAAAGAATGGATGGGCACGAGGGAATCGGCTGCGAATGAAATTGAGGTTGGGATCGCATAGACCTGTTTCGAGTTTTCTCTACGACTGTCGCTAGTTTCTATTCCGACATGATGACCTCAGTGCCCAGGATTCTGAGCAGAGCTTAGAAGACGGAAGGAGGAGCTCCGCTCAGAAGACTCCTAGAGGACCGACATCGAGTAGCTCCCGGAGCGCACGTATGCATTTGTTTTGGAGCAGGTGCTGGGAAATTATTGACGGAGCCAGGGCACGTTCATCCGCTCTCCCGATTCTTTAACTGGATGCATGTCAAGTTTGTCGGTATATTATTTAGGTACTTCTGGCCTGCTGGGGAATCGCGAGTGCTCTGCGGAACCGCGCCGCGAACGAAATTATTGGAGTCTGGAGTTCCTCTCAGCGGACTTTATCAACGCTCGCTTTCATCGCGTCGCGACCTGTGAGAGACCAGAGTTTATACAACCGGTCGATGTTGGCAGCCGGAGAGCCAGTCGGCCGGTCAGGCAATCTGCGTCTAGGACAGCTTTACACACGGGAACCTGCGGCAGCCTCGAGCCGTGAGCCCGACCTGCGTCGGAGCTGTTGCCAAGCCTAAAGCGGCGGATATCGGCAGCTCCGATGGTTGTTGGGAGTTTTCTCCTTTCATCAATAACAAACAAGCGCCACGGAAGGATTATCCCTCAAAGGGATAATTTTTCAGCGAACGACTACTCGGACTAACCACCGCCGTCGGGCTCGTTCACTCGGTATCTTAATTTATCATCACTACTTTCGCCGATGGATCTCGGATTCGCCTATAAGCGAGTTTTCCCGCGAGCTGCGGGAAAACATTGGCGGAAACTTGCGCGGAAAACCGAGACATGTCCTAGCTGTTAGATCGAAGGGAGGCTAGGAACTCACATGATGATGTGGTGGGAACCTGGAGACTGCTCGTAGTTCGACTCATCTGCGAAGAGTGGCGATTCGAAGAAGGGACGCCTGAAATTTACCGTAACAGAACACTTCGAGTGAGTATGGGGTTACATTCCCAGTCGCAGACCGCTGAGCGTTCCCCTCAGCTTTCGTCTAGCGTTTCCCATTCTCTAATGAGCCTCACGGAATCAACAAGAGCGACGAATTCGCAGACTCAGCCAAACATCTCATCTTCTTGACTCACTCGCCTCCGCACGCTTGCTTTCAGCCACTCAATCTGGCAGTCAGTCCGGCGCTTTTCGCTCCAAGCATCCATGGACGCCGAAGAAGAAGATAATTCTTATGCATAAGCGTTCCAAAAGAATAAATGCAATAACGAGCGTATTCGATATGAACGAATGGAAACAGGCCTCGAAACAACGAGCAACGTCGGTCAGTCGCAATCAATCGCTAATGGAAGCTGTCGAACAAGTGTTTCATCTCATTGTGGTTGTCGCTGCCGTTGTTGTTCGTGATGTCGTCCAAACTACTCTTGTCGTTTCGGTTGTTGTTGCGATTGTTGATGTTATTGTTGCCGCTGCTGCCGTCCTAATTGTCAAGTGTGTTGTCGACTAGGCCTCGGGACGAAATTCGGCGGTCCTCTGAGCAGGCGCGTCGATCGAATAAGTGAGCGGACATCTCTCGTATCTAAGTGGGTAGCGATGTTTGGCACCAGGAGTCTCATCCATTCTCCCATCTGTCACTCTCTCATTGGTTTACCGTCGGTGATTCTACGTCTATATCTGGCTATTCCGAATCTTGCCTCCGTCTCGGTACAAATTTTTGATTCGAGCGGATGTGCGGCCAGTGCTCCAGAGAGTTTTCTCGCTCCTGTCTCTTCCGTCTCGGATGCCTTCGATCGGATTGAGTTGAGATTCCCTCTCTCGAAGTGAAATCCCCTATTGAATGGCATCTCGCCGCTCTTGAAACTTCCGCCGAGGTCTGAGTCGATGTCAACACCTCTGCACCGGAAAATCCTCCCCGCCCACGCCTACGCACTGAAGATTCAATGTTGTCTGAAGTTTCGCAGCACACGGAATTGCGAAATATCAATTCTCACAAGCCTATCATACTTTTGGAACCTCGTTCACATTGAGTTTTGTTCCATTTCGTTCGACATCCCTGTCGAGTTTTCGAAAGGCGATTTCCCCGGAAATAGGTATCAGCACTCGGACAAGAATCTGGTGCGAGTCCGAAGAATTATTCTGTATGGAAACGTTACGCTAACAGCCTCTCCTCCTTGGTGAGTGTTCGTTCGTCTGTCGTGGGGATGAATGAATGGATGAGGAACAATTCTTCTAAATCATAGCGGGGAAATCCGTAAAGCGGAAGATGGGCGATGCTCTCAGGATGAGAAGAGCACGGTGAGTGGTGGAATGGTTGTGGAACAAAATGGTGAATGGTGATGGTGGTGGTGATGGTGGCGGCATTAGTTGTGGTCGTGGAATATAGAACGAAGACGAACATGGACATCGACAACATCAAGATCAGTCTCAAAACAGTCCGGAGGAGAGAGCGTAAAGGGAAAGAAACATAGCCTGCATCATACGTACTTGAGAATCGCATTCCCGTACAGTCGACCTCGCTCTGTTCCTTGTTCTGCTCGCCGGATCCTGGAATCAGCCCGCGCTCGGTTACCTCGTCTCCCGTGTTTCCGATTGCTTCGATTGTGGTAGTACGACCACGTGTGCGTAAACGTGCGTACAAAACGTACGCACATAAATCGCTGTTGCTATCTATGGTGGCGCAGGGTTGGCTGCTGCTGCTGCCGTCGCCGCCGTCGTCCTCGCTGCTTCTGTTGTTGTCGTCCTTGTTGCTGTCGTTGTTGTCGCTGTTGTCGTTGTTTCTCTTGTTGTTGTCACGGCCACCTTCCCGCGGAAAAGCGAAGTCCGATGAAGAGGTCATAACCATTGATGATCCGGCGCCGTCGCTGCTGTTGCTGTAGCCGATTCCGCTGCCGCCGACGTCGTTGAACGCTCTTTATGATTGCGCCTCGAGCCTTCGACTTGCAGCATATCAGAGCGTGGTGAGCTTTCGGCTACAAGGTTTTGCTTTTTGTTGTTTCAAGAACGTCATCATCGCCATCATCATCATCATCAAATGTACGAAAACAAGATTTTGTGGTACACCGACAAAGGACACAATAATATTGCACAGTGCACTCAGTCAGACAGTGCGAGAATTCCTTCGAAATCATCGTCCTTAGTCTCCGAACAACGTCCAGAAAATTATCTGCGGATCATCTCGCTGTTTCTCGCTCCTTGAGCTGTTGCCTATTCGCTAAGATTCGTCCGGGGATTTACGCTTGCCCAGAACGTACCGCCCCATGTGACCTCCACCTCGCTGCCGAGGTGAAGGAGCAGCTCCCATGCTTCCCGAATGCCTCCGCTGAACGCCTTACGTTCCCCTGACCGAGGGTTTGCAATGCGATTCACCCAGGGAAATTTCCACCACATGAAGCAACGAAGGCGAGTGAAACAGAGCTTCGCTTCCGCCTATTCGGAGGCGTACCCAGAACCCATTCCGGAGCGCCGGATCTCTCGATACGACCCACAGAATATCTCCGCGGCAGTTTCATGCAATTCTTCCGGGATTGACCACGACTCGCTCCGGAGGGAAATACGGGTTGAGCAGCTCTTGAGAAAACTGTCCAACGGCAAGACTCTATCCGCACGAAGGAGGGAAACAATAAATGATTGTTCCCTCATGAAGGTCACAGCCCAGCGCGCGGTCCGATGGGGGAGAAAATTACGGGGAAGGTCCTCCTACAGCGAGAAATGGTCGAGAGGATTTCGGTTTTTCCACTACCGATCGGATCGTGAGCGCTTCCGTGGGGAGCAACAAATCTTCGAAATCTCGTCCCCGTTTTGGAAAAGCCGCAATCCCATTGGCTAACCCAGGTTCTAGTCAATTTGACTATCGCGCGTGGCTTGACTACAGCTTGGCAAAAAGGTGAAACCGTCGTCGCACCGCTGCTATCTGCTTCGAGTTTAGTGGGAGGTCCTCTTTGGGAAACGTATCGTTTTTTATGGAGGTTCTGAATTCTGACGTCCCCTCAGTAGAGCCGGCTGTTCGGGCGGGCTGAGGCGACGACGACGGAACGGATCCCATACCGTACCCCGTCACATGGGATGGAAAGCTCTTGCATAATCACTTTCCTCGCTTCGCTGTTCGGAGCGAAAAAATCGTCGCTCGACGCGAGATCAGAAAGCAATTCCCCTCGGCCACGGTCATTTGGGCGAAAAGTCAAAAGGGCGCAAGCTCCAATTGGGCGCAATGCCATTTGGGCGCAGTGCCAATTGGGCGCAAAGCCGTTTGGGCGCAGTGCCATTTGGGCGCAAAGCCGTTTGGGCGCAATGCCATTTGGGCGAATTCTATTTGGGCGCAACCGCCAATTGGGCGAAAAGTCATTTGGGCGCGCAGATCATCGGAAAGATACCTCGAGAGTGACTCGTTTTTTCATATGGTAGACGCAGAGATTGACTCCTTCAGAGCTTCAGCCATGCCGTCCAGCAGCCGAATAGGCTGGTCGACGAAGATTGTCTTCCTGCATCTATGACGATCCCACTCGACGAGAATGGATAATCGTAGGCAATCATCTCGGGACGAGACCTCTTTCGCCTTCGAGAGGGGCATCGAGGATGTGCGCGCTGTGCGCAGTGACGAGTGGATGTCTCGCGAATGAGAGTCGGAGAGACTTAAACAATAATAACTGCCGTGTGATCGAAATTCGAACGATTCTGAGTCGCCGTGATCATCGTTCCTAGACGCTCGACTTTGTTTTGTTATCCGTCGTGGAATTTCATCGAATAAAAATGGCTTCGAATATCACCAAGACTCAGAAAGGTCGTGAAAAACTTATTCACGAGGGCTGGATGTACGTCCGGGACCGTGTGATAGGCGGAGGAAGTGTACAGAGTTGGCGGTGCATGTATAAGAACGCTTCCTGTCCGTGCCGCGCTAGAGCGTACACCTCTATTGAGTCGGGGGAGGTCGTCAGTACGAAAGGCTCACACACGGATCCGGTCGACCCTTCGGGAGTCGAGACCACGAAAGTCCGTGAAGCCATCAAGCGACGCTGTGAAGAAACAAGTGAACCACCATCGTCGGTGATGTCCTCAGCGTTTCTCACGGCTTCGAGAGCAACTCTCGGACGACTCCCGGAGCGCTCGGTCATGGCGAGGATGATAAACCGCCACAGGAACGCCGTTTCGAACACCCCGGCAAATTTCGAATCTAGGAGTTCCATAGTAATTCCAGAACACTACCGCGAATATGAATTCGAGCCCGGACGATTCGAGAATTTCGTCGTAGCTGACAGCGGTGAAGGAGATGTCGACCGCATAATCATTTTCGGAAGAGAGTCCACGAGAGAGTGGATAGGCTTAGTCCAAAAGCTATTCGTCGATGGGACCTTCAGTCTTTCCCCACCGACTTTTTCTCAGGTACTCATAGCTCGCAAGGGTCGACCCAGGGGAGGGGTTTCCGCTATGGAGGATCCCATTGGATCGCTTCATTCTGGCCAATCCATTTAGCTTCCATTGACCGCCCTCCAGATTTTCGTGGTGCTAGCCGAACGGTCACAGTATGTCCTCCCGGTCGCGTATGCACTGCTTCCGAACAAGACCGCTGAAACATACACGAGGGCGCTGAGTCTACTGAAGAACGCGTGGCCGGCTTTGAGTCCTCTGGCCGTGGTGATGGACTTCGAAAGGGCTGTCATGAACGCCGTGCGCAGCGTTTTCTCATCCGATACGAGGATGGATGGCTGTTTCTTCCACCTCGTGAAGAACATCAAGCTCAAGCTGGCGGGAGAAGGGCTTATGAGTCGGTAAGACCCGTTCACTGAGCTGATCGATGGATGGATGAATGGATCGACTGGATATGCCGAACGATTTCATATGCTCGTTTCGATTTCTATTCGAATCTTGGAGAGAGGACTCCTCTGATCCGGCTCGCCAGTTCCAGCCCTAATTCTATCACAGCACCCTCTCAATCTTCTTTCCCGATAATGCTTTCAACAGGTATAGTAATGACGACGAATTCGCGCTCAACGCGAGGATGATCGCGGCCTTGGCTTTCGTTCCACCGGCCGAGCTGAATAACGCGATTTCCGAGCTCGCAGCACTTCTTCCGCCGGAGCTCGTCACCATTCTCAATTACTTCGAGGACGTATACCTCGGGAGATTGAACAGAGTCACCCGGGAGCCACTGTTCCCGGTAGACATGTGGTCAGTCTTCCAACGAACGCTCGACGGCGAAGCGCGTACAAACAATTACGCGGAAGCCGCTCATCGACGCATGCAGCTCGAGTTCGGGGTCAGCCACCCGACGCTGTGGAAGTTCATCGACGGCTTGAGGAGGATACAGAAAAATCGAGACTTCCAGCTCGAACAATTCCTCGGAGGTGCTCCAAGTTCTAAGAAGCGCAATAAGTATGTGGAGGCCGACAGGAGGATTTTAGAGATTGTGCGGGACGTTTCGAACAGGACTCACGTGGAGTATCTGCGTGGCATCGCGCACAACTTCTTCATGGAGTCGTAACTTGTGGTTCGACAAGTTCTGCTCGTCTTCGCAAAATATGTGTAAATTAAAGTTGACGAGATTAACCATCAGTCCGCCGTATGCCAACGATGTTGGTGGCATATGTCGCCTATGGCAATGAAAGCGAGAAAGCGATAAGCCAAGAGTAAACTCTCGAAAGCTGCGCCGAGGAGCGCATTCACAAGGTGTTTTCATTCTTGCGATCACCAGGTCCTGTTTCCCGTCGATTTCTCATGAGTGATCTGCTTCCTCAAATGAAAGATCCTACCAATTCTGCGCCCAAATGGCATTTCGCCCAAATGGGATTCGCCCAAATAGGTTTTCGCCCAAACGGCATCTCGCCCAAATTGCATTGCGCCCAAATGGCATTGCGCCCAAATGGCGCTGCGCCCAAATGACTTTGCGCCCAAATGGCATTTCGCCCAATTGGAGCTCGCGCCCTCTTGACTTTTCGCCCAAATGACCTGTACCGATTCCCCTGCATCGAGGATCTCGAATCGCACTCGCCGGTTTGAGACTAAAAATTCCGATTCCATCGCAGAATAGATCTCACGGTGCAGCGGTCCGCTCCTCGAGAATTTTTCTCCGTGAACAGGTTCTCGAATCGGTGATTCACGGCACACATAGGAAAACATTAAGAGCTCCCTCCTCTCGGAAAAAAGAAAAAACATTTTGTCTTCGTCTTTGCGTGTGTGTCGTCATCAGTCATCATTGTAGAGGGGTGTCCGTGTATTGTGTCTGTGCTCGAGGATCGAAGCCTCCGTGTGTCGACCTTCGCACCGAAACAGCGTTGGAGAAATAAATCGCGTCAACTCGCCGTCTTCAGTCAATTCATAAGTGGCCTCGCTCTCGTGAGTGATGCTTACAATGACGATACCGATTCTCCGACTGCTCCTTCTTTCCGGTGTTCCCTTATCGTTCCATCAATTAACAGTGATATCGCATGCAGCCTTCTGCTCCCATGCAGTGTCTGTGCCGTGTCTAACCTGATCCGTCTCTTGAATTGCTATCTGTCCTGATACGGCTGTCTGGTTCTCGTTTGTCTTCTCCCTCGTCTGTCCGACCACGTTCCAGGTCGAAATCGTGTGCGTGCGCGTTGAGCTCTATCGGACTGTTTATCTGCCTGCCGTTGTTTGTCAAGACTGACTCGCGTCTGATTGGCGCCTAATTGTCTAGTGGTGGAGGCGTTTCTTTTTGGCTGTGGCTTTCGATGTGGTCACCATGGAGCTCCGAATATGTGTCGCCTCGAGCCTCGTTTATCACCGTGAATTCTCCTCGTTTCCTGACAGTGTGGACGCCACGGAGAAAAAAAAGATCTCGACCAGTTGCGCATGCTGGAATTCGGTGGACCTTTTTTTCTCGGTGCGTCGTTCAGATTACGTCGTTCGCGTACGAGTGCCTACGGTGTCAGTGAATGCGTGAGTGTGAGGTTGCTGCGGCGGACGATCCCGTCGACCATTCGACCGGAGGGCCTAGCCGACCAACGGCGGAAAAAGTTCGCTGGCCGAGATTCAAAAAATATGCAACAACATTCTTTCGTGCTGATTGAGTGATCGATCAATGACGGCAAATCGTTCAAAAAATTTCCGTACCTAGACGACGACAAGATCTGCGCAATTTCCGTGGCCAAGCTTCTTTTCTAAAGAGTTCGGATGGACGATAGGTACCTATTGAAACCGAGTGTTTCGTGTAGCTGTGCTGTGGAGTTGTCAGTCGAGTGGCCCACAAATCAGCTCACCTATGGGCTGTCTGCTTGCAGTTTCCCCCGAAGAAGAGTTTTGTGAGAAGTATGATGATCGTTCGCCGAGTGCTGGAATGGGCACATGCATGCCGCGCCCTCCGCGAATGCTGGAATGTGGAAAGGAAGAAAACTTCGTCAGTCTGCAGTCAGCGGAAATCGCGAGCCGTCTATCGATTCGTGATATGGAGAAAGAGGTTGGGCTTGGGCGAGTCGAGTGACCGATGCCGGACTGCGATCGGAAACAATTTCAGGACGTCCGGTGCCGCCGCTGAAACTGATTTCCCTCGGAACGTGATAACTATCGGCTGAGAGATGGGGACAAAACCGGCCGCGATAAGCCGCGGGCCGAATACAAGAGTCAGCGAAATAACGTGGAAAACTCCCGGTGGAAAGTATTCGAGTTGGCCCTAGCTTTCCATCTAATATCAAGTAATGAGTGCTCGAACAATCACACCAATAGCAGCATTCTCTTATTGAGGTCCGGGATTTATTCGGATACTCCAGCACTATGATTGTGAGTAGAGAAGTTCCTCGATGCGAAGAGCTTCGGTGGGATTTTTTCCCTCCTCGGATGACGCTCCCCGGAGAGAGTGAGCCTTGCGAAAGCTTTGTTCGTTCGGGAAGGGATCAGGATTCTGCAATAAGTTGAGCTTGTCGCTCTCCTTGATTGTTTGCAACGGGACGCTAACAACGGGAACATCTTGCAATACTTTGCTCTTGTTTTTTTTGGTTTGTCCCTGGCCGCTCATTTTTGTTCTATGGTCTCGTCGATGACCCGGAACCAGCTCTGGCCTCACGTCGTCGTCGTCGTCCTCGGCTCCCGAGAAAGAGATTGTCTCTCCGTCCACTCTTGCGATTCGGACAATCGCCTGAAGTAGCGACGTTCGAGTCCCGCGATATTAGTGGAAGAGCCTTTGCGCAACGGCTCCACGATGTCCCAGGGATCGTAGATATCGTCTCGATTCGATCAAAAATCCCACGACAAACGGTGTCGGCAAAATTGGAATTTCACACCTCCGTTAGGGACGATGGACCATCATTGTGCTGCAGCGAAATTTGACAGAGTTGATTCGGAGAATTTCAATATCAAAGGGTCCGTCGGCGGCTTTCTCAGGAGCCAAGCCGTTTAGGTCAACCGAGGATCGGAGCGCCGGAACTTTCTTTCAATGGTTCTCGCTTGATCTCGGAACTCGTCCGCCTCCCGCTGAGTTTCTGCCACTACCGCTTGACAACTCGTTTGCTCGGAGCAAACGAGTTGTCTGTGGACATCCCCACGACGACAGATATCACTCCTGTGTGAAAATCGCCCCCGAGCTGTTCAGCGCATCCAGACTCCGAGAAGATACAAATGTATTAACAATGACGCCGCTTGAGACGCGAAATCACGATTCCACTCCGGAGCTGATCGAGGGAAAATCTCTCTCTCCCTCACGAACCATAAAAGGACTTTTTGTGCTTTTTGGAAATCATTGGAACGAGCGGAATGAGACTCCAGCAGAAGGTCGTGAACTATTGTAGGTTATTCCCGTCGTCATCCTGTGCGGGATGTATCGGGCATCGGGTCGGAACCCGTCCGAGAATATTCGTGGTTGCGAGAAAATATCCAGTCCGGAAGTCTGCCGACAAGGCGTAGATGTTACCATCCGTCGCTCCCCTCAAACTGAAGGACGGGTGCAGCCATGTGTTCATTCTCGAAGGCTCCTTCAGCTCTTCAGAGAAGAAACAGAGGACAACCACTTCTCCTTTCATCCGTTCGACTGCCTCCCTCTATGGCGCTTACAAACAGTCGTCGGAGTCCGGGTTGACAAGTGGCAGAGAGACGTCAGGAGAGAAGTCTCTTGCGAAGCGCTGGGATTGAGAAACCGATTTCCTGAGATTCGTTCGAACGATTGTCAGGGAACACCGACCTCCTCTCGGCAGAACCCCACGACCCAGAATTAGAAATCAAAAAGGATCGTTCCCTGAATTCGGAACGGCTCAGAGGACCGCGGAGCTTTCCTTTCAGAGATCGCGCGACTTCCGGAAGCGAAGCGCAGGAGCCCTTTGACGTCTTTTTCACCTCCAGGTACCTTCAAGGGACCAGGCTCATTCGGAGATCATCAACGAGATCGCTGATGGTCAGAGCGCTAATGTTTCACAGTTTATGGATTTGAGCGGGATTCGGGCGAGATGGCTCCTATTATCCCTTGAGCGAATACGGCACCTCACCGAGGAGGGGGAACCTGACCTCAGTCTCGAGGAGAAAAAATCGCGGTCGATACCGAGAAACTCGAAAGTTTGACTCGACGCGAAACCATCGCCGCCAAGAAGGGAAATACGACCCGGTGGTGTCAATAAAACACGAGTTGAGAAAATGGCGGGAAGGCATCATGGGAAGCGAATCGAATATGGAAAACAGCGTTCGACGACGCTATCTCGCTTGTCGGCTGTCGCCCTGAGCGAGAGGCCATTCGTCCTCCGCAGTGGTCGCACTTGCCGGCCGGTAGGTACACAAACGAGGAGAGAAGGAATGGATGCTCGCATGCATGCATGAATGGAGAGATATGTAGAGATACATATATTCAGTTTGCGGGAATTCCAACGGCAGCTTCCGCTCCGCTGAGCGTCCCTTCTGCGACACAAAAAGTGCTCACAAAACTTTCCCCGGAATCGCCGGTTGCGACGATGTTCTGTCGTGCCGTGCTCCGTCAGACTTTCTCAATTCCTCTTCGCTCCGACTCCCCTTCGCGATTCGAAATAAAACCCCCATCTGAGTTTTCGGTATACGTTCGATCCCGAACCTCAGACATCGTAGGCCGAGGGCCATCACCGCTGCACCGTCGAGTCGAACGCCAGATTTCGGGCCAGGAGCCGCCATTAGCTCGAAGCGTTGCCGAGCGTGAGGCTCAAAATGCGTCTTTGCGTTCAGAACTCCGTACCGGCGGGATCAGACATGACGAGGATTCGTCTGAACGCAGCTTGCTCCTCTCCGACGGTAGGCTCTTCGCAGCCCGCTTTTTCCAGGACTTTTCTCGTTGCTGCTGCGAATCCTCAAACGCGAACAGGTTTCTGGTCGAGTTGCCCGAGCAGACTTTGGGCTCACAATCAGCGCGCGCCCGCTCGTTCCTTGTTTGAACATTAAAGGGACTCGGAATGCGAGTCGTGGCGTGGGTTTTTGTTCAGTCGTTCCAACAGCTGTTACTACGACGGCTATTATTGTTGCTGACGTTACTACTGCAGCCCGCTTTGTTACAACAACTGCTGTGTGAGGCTTGAATGGTCGACTGAAGGTGTCTTTGGGATGCGAATTCACAGGTCGCCGCCGCTTCCGCTGAAGACCGGAGCAGAGAAGCAAAAGGAATGGGAATCGGGAGAGGAAGAAGGGGACACCGGGTACTCACCCTCCGCGGAGGCGTTTTCGATGTTCCTTCCTTCGGAGTCGCATGGCCCGGTAGCGGAGTGCGCAAATTATTATGAAGGCGATGATTGGAAAGAAGATGATGCCACTGAGAATCGGAATGAGAACTGGTCGAGGATCGAGGTGAGGTGGGAGTTGTTGATGGGTTGTGGTCACATTGGATCGACCTTTGATGTGGGTTTGGGGAGGCTGGGTCGGGAAGTACGTAGCGGGAATCGAGGGAATGATGAAATCCTGGACGTATTCACGTCGCAGGAAAATTCACCGTCAACCTCACTGTAGCGTCTACGGATCAATCGTGATGCTTGTGTGTAGCCGTCGCGGAGGTCCTGGAGGCGTTTTTTTTCGTTTCTTCGACGTCGTTCCGACGTAGAACTTCGTTGACTTAGTCACCTTCAACGTATTCCCGCCTCTGTGGTTTTTCTTGCTCACTGCCACCTAATTATCGTCGTTGTCTTGGTCACGTGCACTACTTTCACCCACGAAGTCCTTCGCCGGAGAAATGTTCTCCCACTGGAACAACAACAACAACACGTGATCATCTCCGCTGACAGAGCTCCGGCGCGTGCGGGGATGCACAGGATCAGAATGAAGCGAAAACCGATGCACACCTGTTCCTAGTCGAGTAATCGGAATCTCGGGAGTCATGTTCAACGCAAAATGAACGTCATCGAACGGATCTCATAGAGACGTCTGAAAACGCATGAGACGTCGGATTGTCGCAAATAGGCGACATCTCCGAGATGGGCGTATTCGCGCATGGCGTGGTGCGCGGTTGGTTAGGTACGGGGGCGTACTTGTTCGCACGGTCGATATTCGAAGAGACCGACCCACGGAGAGATGGATGCTCTATTCCCCAGAAAGCACACCTATCCAGAGAAACCGCGGATAATCCTGATACGCGAGAATTAGCGTAGAACTATGTACGGGTTACATCCGTGATCACGCTCCCCAAATGTTTTCTCGACCGTCACGGTAGGGCGCTCGAGAAGTCCGACTTGAGGGCTCTCCAGGAGTTGAGGGAATTACAAACGGGCCTTTTCCACGCACGGCGGCAGGTGTTCAAAAAGCAAGCCCGCCTCACAGAAGCTTCCTAATCCTGACTAAACACCCCAATAAATCAAGAGCGGACGGTGTAAGTAAGATGAAACACATCTCCATCGCCCTCGGGAAAAACGGTCCGGAGTGCTTCTCCTCCGATTTGACAGCTGATTCGTACCGCTTATAAATTCACCTGCCGTTCTCACATGATCACGGTGCAAACAACGTATTCAATGAGAACACTAGGGCCCGCTCACGGGGATTTCATCCGCATCCTTCCGAGCCGTTCAGCGCGGCGGTCGAATCGGAGAGCCAAGAAATTCGATTCGTTTCCCTCCTTCCACCCTGTCCCACATTCCTGGGGAACAATCGACGTTCTGCTTCATTCTATCCCGGCCGTCGCTGATCCGCTTCGCAATCGGGGCTCACAAGCGCAACTTTCAGAAATCACCGAATCACTTACGATGTCGACGTACGCCTTTCGTAGGTAACGTCCTGCATGTGCAAACACTTTAGGTCACCATATTTCTGCACGACGATCCAAGAGCGCGTCAGTTGCAAGCACTAGACAAAAATTACATGCCCGGTTCCCCGGGCCGAACTCGACTGCATTCAACGCGACTTCCCGCGTCGAGTCCACGAAGCTCTCTGTCGTGCGGATCCAACTCGCAAACTACAACAAGGGCGAGGAGCCTTCCCTCCCCCTCGAGCTGCGGTCCTTTCCTCAGTCAGGACACTACCGAGCTGCCAAGCGACCGAGCGACCTACCGAAAGAAGGACCGACTGGAAGAACGCCCGACCGACCGACCGACGGACTCAACGACGAACAGGCGGTCTTCGCAAAACGGCAAGCTACCGGCCACCAAGCGACCCACCGACCGAATCAACCAGCTATTCTCCTCCGGCTACATGACGTACCCGCAGGGCTCCACTTCAACGCGGCCGAGCGTGCTGTCCAATAACTCGCGCATGTATTAAAGGAAACGATGCCCGAAATAGATGCTACACGAGTCGATCGAGTTCCTCTGGAGCAACACCCTCCTCATGAGTTCAAAACTCGAGGCGTCATCGTTCCTCGAGAATCCGAGCGGACTGTGAAACTCGACGCTCTCCTGTCACAACAAATTTTGAACAAACGACGAGACTGGGTAACTTAAGCGCGAAACTTTCGCACGTTGCGGCGAATAACTCCGTAATCTTCCGACTGGATCCTCAGTCATGAGTCATGACAAATTACGGAGGAGGAAAAATTCTACCATGAAAATCGACCATGACAAAACCATGACAAGAACTCAAATCAGATAATCGACAGGAGACCTGGAATTCACTTTTTTCTTCGGTCGGATCCAGTCGGGTGCGACATACGTCAAGTGCCTTGGGGTCCCAATCCAAGTCATTCGCAGAGTGGATCCGGGAGTTCGATCCCAGTCAGCGGGGAATGGGGTCGACACCTCCGGACTGGGGCTTGAGCACTCGCCCTGCTCTCGCATGTCGCCCATCCCTCGACTGGGGCAGGTGAGCCATTTGAAACAAGACGACAGGGCCATAAAAAGACTACATCTCATCAGCGTTGCGAACACCTGTGTAAACAGGCTTTTTTTAAGCATTTGACATCCGACAGCACATTAGCCTCTATATCAGGTTCACCAAGTCCGCTTTTCTTCGCCTAGTTGCTTTCTTGGTTAGTCCGCACAGCGGGTCAACGCAGTCAGTGGTTGACTGACCGGTCCACTGGCGGGAAGGCGGCCGGGAAGGCTCCGGCAATCCGCGGGACAGGGACCGCCGGGTAATGAAGCTTCTATCAATCTCTCCCTTCCTTTCCCCGTAATATGAGCAGCGAAATTGAGTGATACGTGGCCTGGAGACCGGCCGAGCCGGGACGCGGTCTTCAACCAGGCGGAAGCGAGTTTTGAAAAATATTGCTTCAAACGATCGGAACACCTCCACGTGCGTCGCCAGAGAGCGATGTGATTTGCGGTCATAAGCCTCCGGATCCTATTTGATGCGACCCGTCGCCAGCAGCCGGCTCGAATCCGGTCATCGACGCCAGATATGGAGAACGCATCGCCGAATGTCATCACCAGTGAAAACTTGATCTGAAAACAATCATGCGGCCATCCGCCTGCCAGATGGCGCATGGATGCGGGACGTGTGAGCGGCGGCTGGAATGCTTGATGACATGCAAGCTAATATCGACATCGTTGAGACAATGCTGACAGGAGCCAGGGAGCCGTTCGCTTTTTCCCCGCCGGCTCGTAATTGGAAACCCTTACTTTTCGCCAAAGCCTCCTGAGGAAAAACGCTCGTTGGCTAAGAGGGATGAACGGCATGTCTCAAGACACGAGAAAAGTTCTAAGGTCGCTCCTCATCACAAAGTTCGCTCGTGAATGTTAAACCAGCTGATGTAAGCTAAGAATGCTCGTGTGGAACGAACGCTCTGCCTGCGCAATGACTTGACTTGCAGTCCGCTCTCGGGAAGTTCTTCACTCTTTTTTCAGTGCTCCGGGAAATGCTATCCGATGCATTTCCTGATGAAAGAGTCTACACGAGCGCCGCAACAGTTCTTCGTGCCTGGCGGCACACGAAAGTTTGCGAAATTCCTCGGAGGATGCGTCGTGTAAGCGCCGAATAAAAAAATTCCAACGTTGGAGGTCCAAAGGAAGGTAACGATGACGCGGTTTATCGCTGCCGCCTGGGAACGGGTGGCGAGATAAAAGATCGATGGAGCGGGATGAATGGGGAGATGAGGAAGCCAATAGAATAGAAATTTGTCTGCACCTCCAAGAGTTGCTATCGCTGTTCTCGCCGAGGGTATAGCGTGGGATTATCTTATCTCTCTGCAGCAGATCGACTTATGAGCTTATATGGGTTTGGAAAAACTGGAGTCGGTGCTAATCGTTGAATCGGTGGTCATTCTTCGGTCTCTTAAAGCAGAAAACAAAGAATCCGCTCTGTCCTACTCGACCCCGTCTTGTCGGGTTGCGAGGGACAGGCGAACGTAGACAGCACATTTTCCGTGATTGCGTTGAGCCCACTCGGCGGTTCGAATATTCCCGTCGGAGGCAAAAAATCATGGAAGATTTTTTAAATTCTTCCTTCAGGGAAGCCGTCGCGGGATCGGGTTGCCAAGGGTTCAATTCAGTTTATCCGGATTAGGCGCATAGCTGCTCAAGCTGATTGCTCGAAATTAGCGAACCGATTCCCCCTCTTCACACCGAAAAACCGGTGAGCTTCTCGATGCGAACCTCCCCACGAGAGCTTCGGCGAGGGGAATAATTTCCCGTTTGAAAAGTGTAGTTTCGTCGCGCGGGGCGTAATCACGGATTGGAGTTCCGACTTTCGACGTCATCGTCTCTCTGCTCCTCCGTGATTCCGATACGAGATCATGTGGAGTGAGCTCCGCAGCTCCGAGACCCCGAGAAGGGTTGCCCTCTCGTTTCGGCGAGAATTCCCGCATTGCAAAGAGTAATGAGCAAGTCAGGCCAATGACACGACGTGCGGGCCTACGAGAGGCTCATCTTCTCGAGAAGAGACCTACTTATAGCGATCTGAGCGCGGAGCGAGGATATTGATAATTATTCGACGGCGGGATATCAAAAGACTTCTTTGCGAGCTCCACCAACCAAAATAACGTTGATGCCTTGGAGTTCCAGGTGGCTTCCTCTTCCGAAGGACAGCGGATCGGAACGACAGGTGAGGAATTCCCTAGGTCTCTGAGGAACATCCTCAGGTCATCTCGTCTCCTACACCTCCAGACTCAACCCTCGAGGTCGCATAGTTTCGCTTCGCGATCGAGTCTCACCACTTCGGAACTCCGTTCCTCGCTATTATTACTCCGCTCCTCGCTATGTTTACTCCGCTCTAACGGAGAGCAAGGTTGTGCCGACTCCAGTTGCGAATGAAGTGTTCTATGAATACTTTACGTCATCATTCTCTCCGCTGTGGTCTGCTCTCGCAAGTGAGATATTCTCGTTCGCGCAGACGGGAACTCGGCTACTCGTATGCCCTCCTCGCTCTAGGAACTCGCTCGCTCGCTTCGTGGGACTCGACTGAAAAATTCGACCGGATGGTTGAATTAATTGATTGATTTATCGTTCGCCCGCCGGATAGAGTTCCGACGTCGAATCTCGATCCCCTCATCAGAGCCGAGTAAGTATGGTATTTCAGAGCGCACCGCTCCTCCCTCCGAGGAA